GGGGAGTATAAGAGACTGGACGGCCTTCCTCTTTGGAAACTGGGGTCTCAGTCTCGTACTCTCATTTATGCAGACTGTGGTTCTTTCCATCCCGTTCTTTCCTGGATTGTGTGTGCGCACAGCCCCGTTTCTTGTTTTCTCTTTCTCGTGTACTCTGGGCCGTTTGACACCACACATCGGTACAGTTCTCCTGGCCTTACTGGGGGCAGCGTTGGTTTGGCTCTACTAGTGTGCATCGGAGTGAGTGGAACACTCCTGCCATGCTGACTGTGCCGCCCGCTTCCTGTGGGACTCCCAATTGCAAGCAGAGTAAGTCTGCCGAAATTAATTGATTATCCAACAGATGATTAATGGTGCACCTGACAAACGGCTCTGCTTCCCTATTTCCTGTGACTAGAGCTTTTAGCTGCCTGACTTTTCTTCCGCAGTGTCTGGCCTGTACATGTGTATCTCCTGTGTCACACATTGTGGCTTCACGCCGGGAGTTGGTTTTAGAGTTCCAGCACAGGCATCAGGTGGGTCATCGTTCCTGGATTGCATGTTCTCCAAGCTGTGCCTTCTTGTTTCCTTCACCATACGTTCCAGCAGATCTCCGGTCATGTAACAACAAATTGTGAATTTACCTTGAGTACACCAAGCATCTTTTGGTCTGTTTTGTTTTGGTCTGTTTTGTTTCGAGACAGGTCTCACTATGTAGCTCTGGCTGTCCTGGAACTCATTTTGTAACCCAGGTTGGCCTTGAGCTCATAGATATTTGCCTGCCTCTGCCTCCTGAGTGCTGTGATTAAAGGTGTGGGTCACCACACCTGGAAACACCAAGTATCCCAACTCCTGTAATATTCCTAGTCTACCTTTGGGTCCAGCAAAACTACTAAAATAGTTAAATGTTTTCTATTTTCCCTTTTAAGGTTTAGGAAGTGGAGTAGAACACAATGTAGTTTGAGATTAATGCATTTAGCAACAGAGGCCAGAATTTTCCAAGTCTTCATGTTCAGAAACACAGGTTGTAGCCGGGCTGGTGGGAAAAGCATGTGTCTGGTGTCACCTAAGCCCTGGGTGTCTCTGCGGTATCAGTTTCTACACAGATGCTCTGGTGAGGATAAGTCTAAAGACTTGAAGCAGGGTGTGTCTCCACCCTGAGTGTTTCTCTTCACAATCTACCCTGTGGATTCTCACTTCTTCCTCTCCAGGAGCTTCTATGTGTTGGCTCAGCACAGAGCACCTTGGGCTCCATCCCCTTGGCTCCATCCCCTTGGGCTCCATCCCCTTGGCTCCATCCCCTTGGGCTCCATCACCCTGGGATCCATCCCCTTGGGCTCTATCACCCTTGGGCTCCATCCCCTTGGCTCCATCCCCTTGGGCTCCATCCCCTTGGCTCCATCCCCTTGGCTCCATCCCCTTGGGCTCCATCACTCTTGACTCCATCCCCTTGGGCTCCATCCCCTTGGCTCCATCCCCTTGGGCTCCATCACCCTAGGATCCATCCCCTTGGGCTCCATCACCCTTGGGCTCTATCACCCTTGGGCTCCATCCCCTTGGGCTCTATCACCCTTGGGCTCCATTTCCTTGGGCTCCATCCCCTTGGGCTCTATCACCCTTGGGCTCCATCCCCTTGGGCTCCATCCCCTTAGGCTCCATCCCCTTGGGCTCCATCCCCTTGGCTCCATCCCCTTGGGCTCCATCACCCTGGGATCCATCCCCTTGGGCTCCATCACCCTAGGATCCATCCCCTTGGGCTCCATCACCCTTGGGCTCTATCACCCTTGGGCTCCATCAACCTTGGGCTCTATCACCCTTGGGATCCATCCCCTTGGGCTCCATCCCCTTGGGCTCCATCACCCTTGGGCTCCATCCCCTTGGCTCCATCCCCTTGGGCTCCATCCTCTTGGGCTCCATCCCCTTGGCTCCATCCCCTTGGGCTCCATCACTCTTGACTCCATCCCCTTGGGCTCCATCCCCTTGGCTCCATCCCCTTGGGCTCCATCACCCTGGGATCCATCCCCTTGGGCTCCATCACCCTTGGGCTCTATCACCCTTGGCTCCATCCCCTTTGGCTCCATTCCCTTGGGCTCCATCCCTTAGGCTCCATCCCTTGGCTCCATCTCCTTGGGCTCTATCACCCTAGGCTCCATCACCCTGGGCTCCATCACAGCTGGGTGCTTTTCCCAGGTCTGTGAAAGGCAGGATGGGACTCAGCTCAGCAGTTCCCCCTCTCACACCCTTTGTTCTTGATGCCCAGATTCTGAAACATCAAGACCTCACGTGATCTGGGTTTTCCACATATTTCATATAGACTGTGTTTTTGGCTGGCTGGTGGTCTTGAATTTTTTTTGGATTGGAAAGAAGCCTTTCTGTTTCTCCTGTTTACGACAGGAGTTCGGTAGCTTCTCGGACAGCTTCTGCGGGAGAAGAAATGGCTCTCACCAGCAGACACAAGGGTGGGACGCTGCCTCCAGACATCTTTTCCTAGCCAGCTTTGGACTCCAGGGTTGGGCATATGGCCCACTGACTTGCCACACAGCTTCTTGGGAGGAGTCTAGTTAGGGCTGGCTCTGCCCCAGCCTTGGGTGTGGGGTGGGGTCCCTATGAACCTGTGAGGAACATCTGATAAAAGAGTGGCTGTCTATCATCTCAGTGCAGCAAAGGTAAGTGAGAAAGGCCCGATAAAGCGCTCAGGTGCCAGCAAGCCCCATGCAGGTGTGTGGGGGTAGGCACCAACAGGCCTTCAGAGTTGGCTTGGAATTTCCTGCCTCGTTGCCCAATTTTGTAGGCAACCTTGGCTCACAGCTGATGAAGCTCTTGGAGGCTTTGGAATACCGTGGTGGGCCTGGTTCGGAGAGAGGAAAGTTGCCCATCTTTGAGCACATGATACGTCTTGCTTGACTGAGTAGCTGAGTCACCGCTTTTGCTTCCAAACTTCTTTGCTTTCACATGGACAAGTCTCCAAATTTTAGCTTCTTTTCAGACTTCAGCTACTTACTCTGGAGTCCTCTGTGGCTGTGAACTCCCAGCCTGTGAGTAGACAGGCTTCTTCCTGTGCTTGTTCCAGCTGAGTTCCTCCGTCTGTCTAGATCTGGCTCGGCCAAATGTAGGAAGTGCAGGAAGTGTCCTCCGTTTGTCACTCGGCTGCAGAGCGCGGCTGGGCTGGAACATGGGTGATGGACCATGGAGAGTGGAGCCCCAGATAGTGGAGCCATGGATGGGTCTGCTACACCGGTACTCTGTTACACGCCACAGCACTCAGTACGTAAACATATTGTCCTCATTGGCACAGAGACCACGGAGTCTAGCCATGCCTGGGACATCCTTCTTCCCACAACTTATCCCTCTGCATCATGGCAGGGTGGCACACACAGTCAGGGCCTGATCTGGGAATGCAGAGAGGAGGTGGCATAGCCCTAGACTTGCGATGTCTACTGCATTGGTGCAGATGTGCTCCATGTTCTTGTCCTGTAATCATGGAGACAAAGTGATGGAGAAATCCTGTGTATATGTCAATAAAGCACTGTTGGCCAATAGGGAAGCAAGACAGGTGGGACTAGGAGTCCAGGGGGACTCTGGGTAGGAGAAACACAGGGAGTCATCATGTGGCCCGCCACAGAAGTAAGATGTCCATCCGGTAAGAGAAGTACTTAAATGGGTTAAATACTTAAATCAAAGATAGCCAGTAAGAAACAAGCAAACAGCTTCATAATTAATACAATGTCGTGTGTGTTATTTGTGGACTACAACGTGGCAGAGCCCAGGTGACTGGTGGGAAAAATCAAAGTGGCTGGCAAGGAAAAGGCTTTACTCTACAACAAAGAGACAAAAGTCCCTGTGTGACAGAGCTGAGTCCCAGGGGATCTGAAGCTTGAGTTCTAGGCGATTCTAAGCAGTGGCAATTAATCCAGTGGGAACCGCGGGCCTCTCTGATGTCCCCGTGGTATTTGTTCTCATCTTCTGAGTTCATTAAAGAGAATACTCGGTAAAGCTATGGTCATTACAAAAAAATTACACGCTTCCCATGTCCCAATTTCTATAAAAATCGTAACCGAATGAATGTGATAAGAAATACCTCCAGGACCAAAGGGTTCTGTTTAAACGGGCTTTAAGATTAGCTCATTTTGCAAGAGCATCCATGGAGGTTTCACGGTGACAATATGAAGAATGATCTGTCCCAGATGTGGGCCCTGTTTTCATGACCTCTCCCTGACCTGTGTCCGTCCACTGAGCATCCATAAAGCACAGTAACCACCATGCTTCTCCCTTTGTTGGTTTAATCTTTGTCCTCAAGGTGTGATGGCTTAATTTAAATGCCAACTTGAGTGGCCTTGGGGTGCCCAGATACTCGCCAAACACTCTGGGTGAGTCTGGGAGTGGTTCTTTCAGTAAGTGGATGTTCTGCTCTGTGGATGGGGAAGCAGTGGTTTTCCCATCCTGCCTCCTGACCAAATGAACATGCAAAAGGTTAAGTGGTCTCTTTGGCTTTGGGAACATCTACTGGCCCCTGGGGAGAACTACACATCTCTCCTGGTTCTCCTGCTCACTGAATGAGATCTCAGGACCTGTCAGTCTCTTTAATCACATGGCCCTTTTGTTTTTTGTGTTTTTTTTTTTTTTTTTTGGTTTTATGAGATAGGGTTTCTCTGTATTGTTTTGGAGGCTGTCGGTCCAGCCTGGCCTCGAACTCACAGAGATCTGCCTGCCTCTGCCTCCCGAGTGCTGGGATTAAAGATGTGCGCCACCACCGCCCGGCCCTTTTGTATTTTAAATGATCAGTCCATCCCTACACACACTTCCACCTCCTCATGCACTCACACACCCAGTTGGTTCTGTCTTTCTTGAGAGACCTGGTTATGTGTTCAATTGGCCAAGCACTTTTCAAAAGAACCCAGGACTGAGGTGAGAACACAGTACCCACCCCTCCCCATGTCCTTATGAGTTTGTGTGGCTCATCACATCTGGTAACACTTGGTCTTATTGAACCCTGATGACTCTGAGAAGAAAGAAGACCGAACTCTTCCGTGGTTTATGCTTTGTTAAAGGTTACACTTGCTTAATGTGGGGGGAATCAGGCTTGCATCTGCCGTGTGCCGACTGGGGTGTTTCATGGTCGTTGGAATTCTGCCTTCTCGGCTGACTTGTGATGAGGTGACGTGCGTGCGTGCGTGCGCATGCACTCAGCAAGCGAGAAGAAGGTTGCCGAGGCCATTGGCTGGGGCCTTCCGCTTGGTCCCCACGAGCAAATTCCTGCCTAATCACAAAAACATTGTCCAAATGTCAGTCACATGAATCTGTTTGTGAAACCCCGGATGCCATGTGCACATACTCTCGGGACGATGTGGCAAGTGATTCAGCCCCAGATTTACCCTGCGCCGGGACGTCACCAGAATAGCACACTGAGGCCTTGCAAGCAAGGGAACATCTGGTGGAGCTGTGCCAGTTTGCTCGTGCTGTTGTGTGTAGTGACGGCGACAAAGTCGGGTTATGCGGAGACAGTGTCTCCGTGCCCCGTGCTGGTGCAGACACCCTGGAGTCCCCTTTTGTATCAGAGAGTGGCAGCTGGCAGGATTTGGAAAACCAAACGCACTAGTAAAATACCAGACAGTGTTTCAGTTCTGGGCAGCTGAGCTCCAGCTTCCTGGGCAAACCCACACTCTGGGAATGAGCAGGGACAGTTTTGCTCAGAGCACAGACGGTATGGCCACCTCCCCGGGGGGAGTAGCAGACGTGTTTGCGGCTGGTGATAACACCCTCATGTTATTGCAGCCCAGGCTGCATATGACATGAGTTCCAATAGATCTCAATAATAAAAACCCCAGGGTCAGATATAGGGAGAAATCCTGAGAGATCAGACTAATGAAGGAGCAAAACCACAGCCACACCTCACCTACTCAACCTCCCAGCTGAAAAGAGACTGAGCCCCCAGTCTCCTCTTGCCTTCTCACTTCCTCTTTCTGCCCAGCCATCTCACTTCCTGCCTGTCTGTACAGACCTCCAGGCCTCTATGGTTAAGTAGTGGCTAGCTCCGCCCTCTGATCCTCAGGCAAACTTTGTTAGAGTACAAACAAGATATCGCTACAGCTGCATGAGTTCTGTCTTCTGTGAATAAAGGGTGCTCCCATAATTCCACGTTTAAGGTCCCACGGCAACTCTACCTTTCTCGCTTTCCCTGCTCTTGTCTTGACCCAACCCTAGGCACCCTCTAGACACACAAGCGGCCCTCTCCCGTGCTAGAGCGCGTCCTGATCAAGCAGGGTGGCAGCTGCGGTCCCACCGCCTCTATGCTCCCTCTCCTAAGACCGCTTTGCTTGTGGACCCCATGATTCTACAGGATCCCACTTTTACGTCGTCTCTTGAGCTTGGGGCCCTCTGTGTTTGTCCCCTCCACTCACGCCTCCTCTTGTCGGTTACTTCCCCTCCCCCTCCCCACACAGGGTATAATCCTGCTCCAGGACTCTCCCAGCGCATTGCTGACATCACTGAGTGACTGCCCAGCCTCGCGTTTGCTCCCCTAGCTTCCTCGGCTCCCCACCAGCTCGCTCTGGCCCCTGAGAGCTGCGCTTCCCCGAATTCCTGAGCTGCATCTCCACCGCCAGACCACACCTCCAACCCCAGCATCCTCTGCTCCAGTTTCCTCTCCTTGCACCTGCTCAGCTGTGGCCCCCAGGTATGGTCACCGCTGGTGTGGCACATGACTCAAGTATGGCGCCTAGTGGCCCGAAGAAGCCAACAGTGGTCCGCAGAGAAGAGCCAGGTCCTGGCAAAGGACGCAGGCTGTTTCCTACGGGTCTTGCTTGAGTCTCTGGGATTTTTCAGTTCACCGATACTAAGGAAGATTTTGGATGTTGAGCTTTGTAGATGCCATATCTTGACTTCTGATTTTTTTCAGGACTGTGGTTAGAACTGGAGATGATCGCAGGAAAGGGCGTGGCAATGAATATGCTTGAAGCGTATAATACGTTAGGGCAGACGTGAAACCTGGCACCCTACACGGTCAGCGCAAGCCAACAAAAAGGTTTGAAGAAGGAGTCAGTGACTGACAGTCATCTCAGAACATTAGGGAGTGGAAGTTTCCAAGAGCTGTCTTCAGATCTTTGCTCTTTACTTTGGATTCTCTTCATGGTGACTCAGAAGACCTGAGGGACAGTTCCCGTTAGTTCCTCAGGCATCTTTGTATGTTAGTTATTGTGGCTAAGTGCCCACTCTGGGACTAGGAGAAAGGACATCTAAAGATTATCGCAACTGGGGACGCATGCATCTGTCTTGGGGGAGCACCGTGGTGTTTGTTGTGAGACTTGATATCACGAGGGTTCCCCATGAGGCTTTGTAGGGCATTTTCTACACACACCGTTCCCCACATTTCCAGGGATGGCGTGCACTTTGGGACACAAAGTACCCAGAGAGGTGCTTAGGTTGTCCCAGGCTGCTCTATGTAGATCACATTAGCAGGTGTCAGCCCAAGAAGGCTTGGGCTTGACTTTCTGAGTTTATAGAAAATGTGTTTTTTTTATTGATTCACAAACATGAATAAAGTTCATAAAATGATAAAAAGAAATAAAACGTTTTGCCTAATAAGTGACCAGACTATGTGCTTGAAGTGACTGGAACCTTCTGGCAGGAGATGGCCAAAAAGTAGTCCCATTCTGCGTGTCTCTGTGTCCCTAAGTGTCACCTTTTAAGTAGAGGTTCCGGGGGGAGACGGTCGATTGGCTGGTCTGCCGGCACTTGCACTTGTGTCGGGAATCCGTGGAAGAACTAGACTATTCCCTGGTCTGGGCCTCAGGGTGGGAAACTTGTTGGGTTCGCCGGGCCAAGAAGCTTGGGTGCAGCAGCAGCCTTTGGTCGTATGCAGGAAGCTGCTGTGGGCAGGAGTTTTGCATTGGGACAGAGGAGTCCACAGCTAAACGGGTGATCAGTGTCTGGAGATGATGCTTAACCCACAGGCAGGGCAAGGCCGTGTGAGAGCCCAAAGACAGGAGAACGGTGGCTGCATCCAGCAGGACAGTCGGGATCCACATAGAGTCTGACGTGACATTGCCAGAGAGAAGTCCTATGCCTGAGCTGCAAGTTACTCTGCGCATCCCCGGGCAGCTAAATCATTCTGCCCATTTCTCCATCGTATGCTTACTGACGCAGCAACCAGAGAACTCTGTGCTCGCTCTCTCTCTCTCTCTCCCTCCTCCCTTCCCCTTTCTCCCCTTCCCTTCTCCCCTTCCCCTCCCCTCTCTCTCCTCCCCCCACTTTCACTCCCTCCCCCCTCCTCTATCCCCGCTGTCTCCCCCTCCCTCCGCTTCAGATGATTTGAAAAGAGACAGGCGCGGTGTGTCTAAGGCTCAGATGATACCGAATTCCTGGACCCAACACAGTTCACTTGAGGACCAGCACCCGTGTCCCAGCAGCGTGGTGTCTCAATCATCTCTTTGCATGCTGGGAAATTCAGAGTTGGCTCCAATGGTCACTGCACACCTGCTGTTTAGTTCCCTTGGCTGGGAACCTGCATAGAGCCAGCGGGGGCCCACAGACAACGGCCTGGCCCGCAGAGTTGGGCTGGGGATGGGAGTGTTGTGAGCTTGCTTTGGTACGAGCACCCAGGCAGATCATAGGTATAGTCTTCCTTACCTCCCTGGTCACGGCTTCTTGGTTGTACCCATTGCAACGGAAGCAAAGGCCAAGTCTGGTGTCAGAGCATGGCAAGCTGATAACATTGCTCCCCCGCTCCGGGAAGGGTTTCCTTCACTCTAATGCAAGCAGAGAAGAATGTTCTGGAACTTGATCCATAGGAAGCAGAGGCAGCCCTAGCCTGATTCCACCCAGGAGCCTTTGGGGGGAGCTTCCTGCCTTTTGCTACCAACCTGGGGGGGCACTCATGACGTATTCCCGGTCTTTTTTGCTGCTTGTTAGAGGAGAGTTGGTTCCCGTAACTCCCCTCCCAGAGGAGGGGCGGGAGCCTGACGCTTACTCACTAAGCTGAGGACACACTAAGAGGAAACAGATGTCTGAGGCTGTGACTTATTGTCCGCAGCCCTTTGAGCGCCAGGACTCCGTGGGGGCATCCCCAAGACACTGTGTCAGCAGATGGAGGCTGTCTCAGGCCCTTGACACCTCCTCATCGCAAAGGAAAGAAGGCAGCATTATCTCTGGCGCCCACTGACTTGACCCTTTTGGCCCGGAACCCTGGGGTCCACAGGCCAAGTGCTGGGCAGTTAATTTCTCTCCCTTTGGCACTGTTTGCGCTTTAGTGACTCAGTGCTCATTCAGAAACAAGAGGCCATTCTGCGTATTCATCTATAAATCTTTTTGTTCAACCATTTATTAGAAATAATTGAGGTTCAACAGCATCTAACTCAAAGGAGATACTATTCCAAGATACTGAGATCCGGATAGGAGTGCCCTCCACTTTTGGGGGCTCACATCTATCAGGGTCTTGTGTCCAAATCCCCTGATCCATTTCAAGCATAGTCCCTGGTGGGTATCACATTTGTCCTGTAAATGGGGCCTCAGGATGCTGTGACAAGTGGGAAGGGCTTGTCTGCCTGTCTCCTCATGCATGTATCCTATCTTACATTTTTGTCTTTTCTGAGACATGATCTCACTAAGGTGCCAAGACTGGCATCAAGTCCATAATCTCTCTGCTTCCGTCTCTAGACTGCCAAGACTAGCGCTTGTACCATCACACTAGGGTAAGGCACTGGTCTTATCTCCTGCAGTTTTGCAGTCTTTGACGGCAGAGGAATTCTTGGGCTCTGTCACTGGTCACCTGCACATGTTCTCTTACTGTCCGCTCACTGTCCTGCCTGTCCCCTCCAGTGATGAATCCCTTTTTCATACTGTGTCTGAGAACACCTTCCCAGAATAACAGACATCGTGAAGCACAGCTGTGTGATCATGGAGATGTCACCCAAGCTTCCTCTACACTTCCTGTCTGGGATGCCCTGACAGCATGTGGAGCATTTGAATCTGTGTGGAGTTGTCTCCTCTCACCCCACGTATTGGGGGGGTCTTGGATGCCCTATTTTTCCTACCCATGTAGCTTGTATTTCCTATCTCAGTCTTGGAAAATCTCAGTCTAACCTAGCTTTGATCCAGTAGCTACAAAAAGCCATTAAGGAGGGTTTGGTGCTGACCAGATAACGACCTGGTCCTGATTATAGAAAGCAATTCCTCATCGGACGTTGTAAATGTACACAGCTCTGTTTGCCCTTTCCCCCTCTGCTCCTCTCTGTGACCTCGTCTACTTCAAGGTCTTATGTTATTCAGCTGATGGCCAAGTCATCCACTCAAAGCAGGCCAGTACACATTCTAACCCTATGAGGTGGCTTCAGGCATCAGCCGGTACCACCGGCAAAGACGTAATAGGTGATACCACCAAGAGGAAGCTCAGTCCCACATAAGCCTTAACATCCAGTGAGAAACAAACCTGTCCTTTGCTGCTATAGGACTTGGGCTCTGCACCCCAGCTTCCTAAGAGCCCCTGCACCATTGGGTGAACGGGTTTCCCTGGGGCGACACTCCTGGAATCTCTGTTCTTTTCCACGCCCCTATCACCGCTGGCCCTGTCTTGCTCCTTAAGAACACTCCAGCCACTCCAAGTCTAAACCTGACCTTCCTCTTATTTGTGGATTCAGAATGACTCTCTGGAAATGTGAGCATGAGCCCCAAATCTTCAATTGTGGATTTCTGATCCTCTTTCTGGAGTCCTCGGCTTGGTGCCCTTCTACTCACAGTGGCTCCCGTCCCAGCCTAGCTCCCGCTCCCACCGGGCAACACTGGCAGCGTGCTTGGGCACCTGGGAGAAAAGTTCTCCCCGGTGAAGGCCTCTGATGCCATGCTACCGAGTTAGGCTGCCCTGCTCCTCTTTAATCACCATGGGCTCCAGGTTAAAAAAAAAAAAGTAAGCCCGCTTACCCCACACATACACGCATCGTCATGCTCTGGGCCAGCTGGACATTCAGCTCAGACTGAACTCAGCTGACCACTGTGTCAGTCTGTCCCTTGAGAACGCTCTGCCCAGTCTCGGGATCTGGGGGTGGGGTGGGGCCGGGGAGTTATGCCCACAGCCCTATCTGCTGTTTCTTACCGGCTCCTGGTTGGCTCCGTTGCCCTGTGTGCGGTATCCCTGCTACTCTCAAAAGATGAGCTCGAACTGATTTCCTTACCTCTTCCTTCTGTGGACCACAGCTCAGCCACACGTGGGCGTCTGGTGCCCACGTCCCGAAAGCACTGATCTGGCAGAATTTGCTGTGTCTGTGGGGATCACACTGACCTTCCGCTCTGGGGCAGAGTTTGTATGATTAGATTAGCTCATCTTGTCAGCCCGCCAGGACCTCTGGCTTCATGACCATTGGGCTTCGATCTGTCTTGCCATCAGTATAAGCCGTTGTCCTGCTTGAGACACGTGGGGTCCTTCCTCCCACCTCTCCCCACTCACTGCCCCGTTCTCTGCCCCTTCTCCCCCCCCCATTAAGTCATAGTCACTGGCTACTCTGCTTCCCCTTCTGGAGATGAACTGAGACAGTGTGGGTCGGTGGGAACTGTCCTCTGTGGTGGGAATTGCCATCTGTGGGTTGTGAAGTATTACAGGGCCGGCTTTTAAACAGTATCTGTAGTACCGAGGCAAGGTGTCTGTGAGACAGTACATCCACCATGAGAGGTGTCTGTCTTCTGTCAGGTGAGGGATAAATGATAGGGGTCTGAAGTCACGGTGTGACTAGGCCAGGCTCTGAGCAGAAGAGGACAGACTCGAGGTCCTGCTTCTAGGGTCAGAGACACACAGCTCCAGATACTCAGTTTGGAGTCTTACTGCCCTGAGCTTCTAGGGTCAGAGACACACAGCTCTAGAGACTCAGGTTGGAGTCTCACTGCCCTGAGCTTCCGACTTTGGTTCCTCGCGGCTGCTATAGGAGAAGCAGTCAGAACCATCTAATGTTACAGCTCTCAAGCCTTCTCTGTCATGATCCATGGTTCCTAAGGGCATCAAGCGTCACAGTTCTTAACCCTCGACCTTAGGACTAGGAATATTTCCAGGATTGGAGCTCGAAGTTTCCTTTGCAATCCTCTTTACACTCTCACTGCTCTCTGACATCTCTGGTCATACAGCCTGTGTCCCCGGGCACTCTCTGGAACTCCTCTGAACCTCCTTCTTGCTGCTATGTGTCCTACAGTTGGCTCTGCCACTGCTATTGTTGCCCCTTCTTTGTGCTATCAGAGCTGCTGTATTTGCTGTGACAAAGTTGGAAGTAAGCAAAGACAAGACCGTTGGAAGAATAATTTTATCGGGCTCAGTGTTTCATTCCCAGAGGTAACATAGAAGGGTGTCCTCCAGTTGACTTGAAAAGCGGACCTGCATATGTAAACAGAAAGGGATGTGACAAGGGTATTTGGATCAGTCGCAGCACAGCTCTTCGTGCAAAGGGAAGATGATGGTGTTGTACCAATCACAGCCCTTCTATTGGGCTTCCAGGGAAAGTGCTTTCCTTTGGCCTAGATGAATAGAACTGCAGGCTCATCTAGAAAGTTCATCACTGTAGGCTTTCTGGCGTGGCCATGGCCGGAACACGTCTTCAGCTGTGATTGGATTGATCCTCTGAGACTGCCCGAGGGTCCTTAGAATGAGCAAGTCACCAACTTGCTGTGTAGGCAGTATGACTGGTTGTCATAAAACAGGCCGCTTGGCTGACAGTTCTCTTCCCAAAGCTGCCAGGTAGAGGGAAGGGCCTGTCAATGGCCACTTTGGGAAGTTCCAGTTACTCACAGACAGCATGGCGTGTTCGTAGCAAGGACCTAATGCAAGCTCGGTACAGAACAGACGACCATGGCGGCATTCAGCAGGACTTCATGGTGCTCAACTCCTGCTGCTGCTATCCAGGGGTGGCCAGGTCCCTCTCAGCAGTATCATTCTTTCTCTGGGTTGAGACTTTTCCCTTCTAACGCAAACAGAAGTAGTTGATGAGAGCTGATCTCCTTCAACCTGACCGCATCTTAGTTTCCTGCTATGTGCAGATCCTGGTCCCAGGGAATTAGCATCCACGGATTCCAGTGGACATAACCCCTCAGACCTTCACTGTTGACCCCTCTCTGCGACACGCCCCTTCCTCACTCTGCACATTCCGTGGGAGTCTCCATGCGCTTGAAAACGCCCCATCTTCTTTCTACTGACTCTGTTGGTGCACCACACCCCTTCCAAGGACACCGAGAAGGAAGGTATCTGGGAGAGTCCCCTTTGTGTTATAGTAGGGCCGTGAGGGCCAGATGGCAGTAGCCTCACAACTTCCTGCCTGGACTCAACCATTTCCCTCAGCAACTTCTACCCTAGACACTCGTTTCAACACTGATTCTACTACACCCGTGTCTCTGCCTGGGATGTTCCTGGCCTTCCCAGTATCCCACCCACACATCACACACTATCCACTCTCCTCACCTCTCCCATCAAAACCCTTCTTGGTTTTCTTTATGGGAGGTTTCAAAAGAACATCTTTCTACGCATCGGCAGCAGCTTGGAGCCCTGCAGGCTGAGAAGGCTGCAGAGTGTGCACAACCTTCCCCCACCCCATCCCCTCCTGCTTCACCTTGTAACATCTGCCATGGAGGGCGCGAATCTGTGAACAGCAGTGGGGCAGTTAGGCACTGAAACCCCTTTCGGGAGCCTGGTGACATTTTTCCCTTCAGCTTTGGATCCAAATATAAATTTGAATCTAATCATTTTAGTTAAGGCTAAGACTTTGGTCATCACCTAAGTGACTCGAAGCAATGCATCTTCCTTCAAAGAAGGAAGGCATGTGTACTGTCAGAGGCTAATCTTTCCTATTTTGTTAGCTAGAGACATATTCATTTTAAATTTTTTGTCATATTTGATTAGTTGATTTGTGTATGGTATGTGTGTGTGCTTGGAAGTGAGTACACATGTATCACAGCGTGTGAATAGAAGTCAGAGGACAACTTGTGGGAGTCAGTTTTCTTCTTCCACCATGTAGTTCAAAGGATCCAATTTAGGTTGTGAGGCTTTGTAGCAAGTGCTTTCATTCCTGAGTTATGTTGCTGGTCCAGAAACTGGTAACTGAAACTGATATCTTCTTCTTCTTCTTCTTCTTCTTCTTCTTCTTCTTCTTCTTCTTCTTCTTCTTCTTCTTCTTCTTCTTCTTCTTCTTCTTCTTCTTCTTCTTCCTCTTCTTCTTCTTCTTCTTCTTCTCCTCCTCCTCCTCTTCCTCCTTCTTCCCCTTTCTATTTTCTCCTCCTCTTCTTCTTTTTTTGTTTGTTTTTCAAGACAGGGTTTCTCTGTGTAACAGCCTTGGTTGTCCTGCAACTCACTCTGTAGACCAGGCTGGCCTCAAACTCACAGAGATTCACCTGCCTCTACCTCCCAAGTGCTGGAATCAAAGGCATGCACTACCACCACCTGGGTAGAAACAGATACTTCTTAGGGAGTAATAAAAGAACAGTCTTCATAAGAAAAAATTGCTTTTGCAATTGCAGCCTCCTCTCCCTCCCCTCGCTGTCTTATACAGCTTCCCTCACCCAGCAGGGTTTTCCCCTGTGGTGGTATCTGCTGACTCCCTGCCCACTTTGGTCCCAGGCTGCTAAGAAGATCCAGCGCAGTGAGTGCCAGGATACGTCAGTGAAGTCTCCGACCAAGATCAGAAAGTGGGCTAAGCACTTTCTCCGTTTCATTTCTCTTTCCTGTTCTTTGAATGAGCTCTGACTTATTTATTGTCCTGTGCCAACTGGGAGCAATGTCCGGAAAAGTCTGAATGTGTCATCTGTGTAGAATGAAGACCAGGCAGGGGTTGTGGGAGATGCCACAGATCTACTTGTGGTGGCACCAGTGTCCCCATCTTCCATGTTGACTGTCTTCCTTGGGTGGCAACCCTCTTCCCATCTAGTGTAGTGGCATCTTGCCTTGCAGGTGAACTTGTAGTGATGGCCACACCCTTTGGGCTTGGTTTTAGATGCAGATGTGACCCATTATAAGGTAGAGGAGGGGCTGACTCCTGCTCTCTTGGGTTGCAAAGATCATTGGAAGAACAGAGACAGCAGGAAGACTGTGACGATTATTTACTCTTTCCTGTGTAAGTCCTTCCCTAATAAACACCTGCCCATCATTTATCTTGTGTCTGGTGAACTCATTTAAACCCTGCCTTCAATCTAGCTATCACCCACGCAGGCCCTGGCCTTCCTTAATCTTCCTCTTCCTGTATTTAGGATCTGTCCCCATCTGGCTTGGTTGGTATAAATTGCAGGGTATGGGGGAGAGCATCAGCTCCCGTTCCTATATTTTTGTGGAGTCCCTGACCTTCCCCCACCCTATCTTATTAGCTGTGGAGACTGTCTCTGTCTACAGGATTCCCACTCTTAGGAAAGCTAGCCATCTCAACAATACTTGGCCGAGGACTAAGTTCTTTCAGGGAGATTTGGTCGCATAGGGTTTCAGGGCCCTGACTGAACAGAGGAAGTGAGTTTGGGTTAAAAATCTGTTCTCGCAGAAGCAGGGCTACTTCCCAGGGTCAGAGATAAAACGGGCGGCCTCTCTTTTACAGTGACTTCTTTATGCATATGACAAACATCAATCCTTTGAATAGAGTAACTTCTCAGCACAGTGATGAACTTGCTGTCTCTCCCCTGCCATTTTGGTTGTCACTCACTTGGCTTGGGAAGGCCAGTATCACATTGGGTAATTTGAAACACATTTAAACGTAGAATTGGCTTTTTTTTTCTTCTTCCTCAGCAAAATGGGGAGTCCCAGCCAATCTCGCTGGTTTTATTTATAGCATTTTATTTCCTGAGAGAAGACAGGAAAAGTGAGTCCCTGCCTGCCCCTTTTGTCTGGCTCCTCCCCCCCCCCCGCCCCTGTCTGGAAAGCCTGGGTGGACATGTAGGAGGGGCGTCAGCTCAGAGGGGCTGGATTTGGACCGGGACACCAGGTACTCTGAGCAAATGGTGACAGCAGAGGAGGGATCATGATACTCCTTCGAAAGAATGAATTAAACGTGCCTCCGCGTGTGTCTGATTGACAGGCCTCTTGGGGAAAGGGCGTATAAAGGAGCTGGTCACTGCCTGGAGGCAGCGAAATCCTCCACTGTCTGCATGCAGCCTCCCTGACCAGGTCACTCCTCAGGACAGACTTAGAATACTGACGTCGGTCATCATTCATTTTCAAATACACAAGGTACCTTTTTTTTAAATTTCTCAGACATTTCACTGGGCTTGATGTTTTCAGAATAGGCTTGTGGCTTGCAGGACGCTGGAGGGGGAAAGTACAGCTGTGCCCTCT